CTAACAACTCTTGATTCCCTCCAAGAAGGTGCCTCTGTAAGCCAGCCCCCTTTTTTGACACTAAGAATCGATATCACTCAACAGAGGCCAACTTGGAGACTTGCATTATTACTGTTAAGATCTCTTAGTTTTTGTTGTTTCAATGCTTAATGATCGGAATGAGAGCTTTATGATTGTTTCTTGTCTCTGTTATTGTTGTGCTGCGTTTGCTTGTTGTCTCCCTATTTCTTTTTAACATTTTCAAGCCCTAGGAGAACACCCTCTTAAATCTGAGAACAACCTCCTCATGTGAATAAAGAAGTACAAATTTATGTCAAAGGTGATTTATATCAATGGCCTAAAGCGGAACCTGTATCAATCATGGAAACCAAATTAAACATTTCCACCCCTTCAGCCGATGATCACTGCTTAGCCTTGAGTTTTTTCTCCAAAATGAATTTTTGGGTAAGCAAAAAGCACATTTTCTTTCCAAAAGAAGGCATAACAGAAGCGTTCACATTTTTTTAGTGAAAAAGAAAAGGGACGAAAAAAAAAGTCAAGTTTACACATATTTGAAGCAATGTTATGAAGATTGAAAAGTTCCCGTCCTTTTTGTTTAGTTAAGTAGGGATGGCAATAGACTGCATATAAAATAGGTGTTCGTTTTATCTTATTCAATAAATATTTATTAAAAATATCTAATGAGTATTGAAGTAGATAAGGATAAAAACTTAAAAAAATTATTCTCACTCTTTATTCTATTAATACCCATTAATTTATTTTAATTTTTTATTAATAGATAAGGATCTAATTACATAAAATTTAAAAATTAAGGATCAAAATGTTTTAAAAAAACTTTGAGGAACAAAAAACTTACAAATAAATGACCAAAATACAAAAAAAAAAAAAACATTGAGGACCAAATTGTTTTTTTTCAAAATTAAAAAAACTAAAATGAATATTTTAATAAATTATTTTTAGCTCATATTAAATAGGTACCAAAAGTATAAATAAACTAATGTGAACTGAATATGGATAAAATAAATACATATATAATAATTTCGTAATGAGTAATTAATAAAATATTTTTTATTAATAAAATAAAAAATTAAATTAATAGATTGGATAATCGTACATTGCCCTCTCTATAGTGAAGAAACTTCTTTGAGGTTTCATTCTCCAACAACAATGAAATTTAGACAACACCGTTCTTAAGCTCTTGAATACACCAATGGGGTTGTTTGTTACATCCTTCTTTAAGTTATCGTTTCTACATTTGTGTCCTTTTTCTTTCAGAGCTTTATTTTGGTTAGTCATGTTAAAGCTTTTCGATATTATTAGAAGGAGGGCCAAAGCCCTAAGGAATATTTACAACGGGATCATTCCAATAAACGCAATCCCACAAATGTCATCCAATAAAAATTTTAAACAACCAAAAGTAGCCTCTATAAAAAAAAAAAAAAAAAAAAAAATTCCAATTTCTAAAGAATTATTATAGTTAAAATAAACAATCTGCACATTAGTTTTTTTCATTATAGATATGGTGTGAAGACGAACATTTTAAAGATGTTACAAAATGAATAAATAAATAAATAAAATGAGCTAATTGAGTATAAAAAAATGATTGATCATTCTGGCATAATAGATCTACATTCAATTTCAAATTTTGTTTTCGTGTGACTAGCGTAATGGCAATTTCACATTGCATAGCTCTTAATTCCACTAAATGAAACTAAATATCTCTCGTACGTCTGTTTTATTATAAAAGAATTAGATCCATACATATTTCCTGTAATAATTTCTTTGGAGATAGTTCAACTTAATTGATCCTACAGCCACAATATCGGCTGCTAAAATTAATGATTTGCCGTCGTGTTTTGCATGTGCAAATAATACAATATTGTAGGCTAAAATGGTGCATGTATGCTTCGTTACAGGCCAAAATGATTTGAATTTCTGCTCATCAAACCACCCTGTTGTCAAAATTGCATATGATCAATGGTCTATCATTAATTTGTCGATTCGTACAGACAGCCTCAACCTGTAGTTAAGCTTGCGTGAGCATCTTATGTAGTATAAAATTCAATGGCCTTGTACCTTACCTCGTAAAATTCCTTGTGATGGGTTGTTTTCTTGACTTGCCGTTTTTTTTTTATGTGATCTGGCCGCAATTATATGTCGAATTGAATGGTTAAAAAGCTTTCATTCATGCGTACTTCGACATTTGATTTTGTATTAGTTTCCTTATTTATTTTTTATTTTTTTTAATTTTGATGTCAATCCTCTATTTTCAAAATCCTCTTTTGTTAGTTCTAGCATGATCGAAAGCTAAGGTTGTCAGTTAATGATCCCGTGTCTCCCACCATACTCTGATAAGTGTCAAAATCGTCTTAACTTACGTTTCTCATTTGGTAGCCAAAGATAATGACATCTATGTTCTTAATTGCCACAATTTCAAAATGCAGGAACCCCAAATTTATAACTTGCCAATTGTATGATATTCAAGTTTCAAACTGTAAAATAATGAATTTGACCCAAAATTTTAAACGGTTAGATATGACTTTAAGAATGATTTAATATTAAATATTTAATGCATCATCTCAAGAGAAAACCTCCTTAATCGAGTGAAAGAGTTTGAAATTTACATAGAATTAAGGATACTTTATTATGAAATTTAATTGAATTAGAGCATCGACCTACCAATATCTTTTTTTGAAAAAAAATTTAATTTAATTAGATAAATAGAATGATGAGATTCAAATTCATGTTAAGAATTTTGATTTCATATTATAGAATAATGTTAATCTAAAAGTTTTAACATTAGATAAAATTCTAAAAATAGTTTATATTACTTTGTATTATCTTATATCATATATTCGCTTGTATTGGGAGACATTATTCACTTGTATTTTAGGACACTCACTTATTGTATGTGTTGGTCTTTGGTAACCCTAAACTATATATACAAAATCTACACAGGGTTACAAGGATATTTAACGCAGACCTTCTGTTTGCCAAACCTATTTCTCTCTGGAGCTCTAACTTGGAATCAGAGTTTTCAAGCATAACTGCAATATGAGTTTTTTCATCGGAAAAAAAGGGTGTATTGATGGTCGCTTTGTAGTTGTTCAAGGTCTTCGGGATTTGGAGAAGGTGAGTCAATTTTGGTTTTTTAAACTTTCTCATTAAATTAAGCCAAATTAAACATGTGGTTTGCACATATATATTATGTGAATTGATAAAATTATATGTATTATTTGATATAAGTGATCTATATCTACAAATATGAAAATTAAATTTTAAAAATTAGTCAAAAATTTTGATCAAAATTATTAATTAATTAGAAACAAGTTTAAAATAAAAAAACAGATTGAAGATATATTTTTTTTAAGAAACATATTAAAAAATTGACTTATTATAAAAAGACAATAGATGGTATTAACCCTTAATTTTAAGACAATGTTACTTGTTTAGATATGTGTTATATTCTAATCCAATCCATGCTTTTACTTCGCCCATATTCGGTTGTTCTTATGTAATTACTTGTTTGCCAGCTTTTACATTAATAATAATTATTCTCGGCCTCGCCTTATCAAAAGAAAAAAAAATTGAAAATGAAAATATATTTGATTATGGAGAGAGTTATCTAGTTGAGGATAAAAAAGAGATTAAAAAAAATTTAGTCAACTAAAATAATTTTTCTGCTTATCTACTTCTAGTTTAGTCAAATTATGAGCAATTATATTGCCCTTATTAGAGAATAATATAAATCATATCTTGAGGCATTATTTAACGACTTAAGCTTTTGTATGTGATGATCATTAATTTGACATGGTATCGAGCATGGTCCTTTGACATGGTATCATAACCTTAATGGCTAAACGTTTACGAGTTTGAATCTTATTACCTCCTCTTTTTTCTTTTTCTTCTAATTAATTAAGCATAACGTAGAGTGACACATGCAAATTTCAAACCCAAAAAGCTTTCACTTGATGGGTGTTTGTTAAAGAATACTAAAAATCATATCCTAAGACCTTACCTAATAGCTTAAGCATTTTAGGTGTAATGGTTATTTGATAGCCCTTTTTATTAATTCTATTAAAATTAATTAATTTCAAATTATAAATACAAGAATCAATATTCATAAAAATATTATGCATTCTTCGTAGCTTCTCATTAGTATTTTGATGAACCCAAAACATTGCGTGCATTAAATCAGTTTCTATGATCCAATCTAAAATTTTATTAGTCAGAATTTATTGATAAAAGATTAAAACATGAGGGAGAACAAAAATTATAGTGAGAAACTGTTGCAAGCATACAGCGATATATGTTATCAACCATTTGGATATGGTTTCCCAATGCCATGGTGGCAATCCTGCAAACGCACTTCGATTTTCCATTTTCACATGCTCATAAGATTATATGGACCACTTAAAGCAGAAATAGCTCTTTCAATTTTCATCTTCAGAAGATCTTTCTCTTCCACATCTACCTGCAAGATAAATTGGTGTCAACTTTCATGATCATGGCCAAATTTGAATATTGATAGCTACTTAGCTGTATTTCTTGGTCCGAGAATACTTCTATCGTTTAAAAACAATTCAAAATATTCATAATTTGTGTAACTGCTGATTTCATGCAATGGAAGCCATTTTATATATCTTCCCGTTTGTGTTACTTGGATTGAAATGATGGAGAGGGGGAAGGAGAAAAGAGACAGACCTCTATCAATACTGTCTTCTTGATCATCCCTGAGACAATTGTGGCATTTGCTGTAATGATTTTCAGCTTCAAGGATTCAAAAACCTCGAAAATCTTAATCATTGCGTCTCCAGCTTTACTGCATATCAGGCTCACAAACAAAGTCTTCTCTCCCATGGAAGTAACCCTAAGCTGAAAAAACATCAGCGCAGATACCATTAGTGTTCTAATTAATCATTTGTGATGTACGGAGAGAGACTTTTATTATTTATATTTTAAAAATTGTGTCATATCTTTACTGTTTCGAACTGACTACGTTAGGTCACACCGGTGCAAAAAGAGTAACTTACTTCATGAACTTCGATAGGATAACTCATAGGATAATAAATTTGGTCAGATCTTGTTCTCTTGGATCTTAACAAGACTGGTAGCTCTTGCTCGAAGTCATATCCAGGATCTTTCTTCAATCTCTCGGATTCAAGTTCCATTATCTCAGCTTGCAGTGTCCTCTCTTGTTCTTGCAAATCTTGGATGTACTCAATAGCATCTTTGACTGTGGAAGCCTTGTCAAGCTAAATGTGGTCACCCCAAAAATGGAAAACAACACCAAAATTTTCAGACTCAACAAACAAAGTGAGGAACAGTATCAGAAGTTGCCTCAATTAATGAGCTATGGATTTACCTTGCTGATTTTGGGGACTGCTTCTCTAAGTGCTAAGAGCTTGTCATTGAGCTTCTTCCTCCTCTTTCTCTCTGAATCCATATTTTTAGAGGCTATTGTTGAAGCAGCTCCGTCCAGCAAGCTTGAATCATAGCACTGCGTAGATGCCTGATCCATTGCCCAACTGTCTCAATATCAAAGAACTTCATTTCTTAGTGCTCAAAAAAAAATTTGGAAATGGAAAGAAAATAGAACAAAAGTTTGGTCATCGAAGGCAGATAAGAAGTGGAGGATCTATACCTGTTAAGCTCATCATTCCACAACACTGAAGTCGTCTCCCAGTAATTTTGGTACCCAGCAATATTTTCAATAGTTTCCATAGATTGAGGATGGGGCTTGAAAGGTAGAGAGAACTTGAATGGTGCTTTGCTTGAAAATGTCGGTTCTGTTTTCTAAACCATGCAGGAAACGTGGGGTTTTATATAGACAACGTGGGTTGGGGACTCGGGGTTCTTTGAATTTCACTGGATTAGTCTAAGTGTAATTTTGTGAATAAAGAAGTACAAATTTATGTCAAAGGTGATTTATATCAATGGCCTAAAGCGGAACCTGTATCAATCATGGAAACCAAATTAAACATTTCCACCCCTTCAGCCGATGATCACTGCTTAGCCTTGAGTTTTTTCTCCAAAATGAATTTTTGGGTAAGCAAAAAGCACATTTTCTTTCCAAAAGAAGGCATAACAGAAGCGTTCACATTTTTTTAGTGAAAAAGAAAAGGGACGAAAAAAGAAGAAGAAGAAGTCAAGTTTACACATAGTTGAAGCAATATTATGAAGATAGAAAAGTTTCCGTCCTTTTTGTTTAGTTAAGCTGGGATGGCAATAGACTGCATATATATAAAATAGGAGTTCGTTTTATCTTCTCTAATAAATATTCATTAAAATATTTAATGGGTATTGAAGTGAATAACGGTAAAAACTTTATTCACATTCTTTATTCTATTAATACCCATTAATTTATTTTAATTTTTTATGAACAGATAAAGATCTAATTATATAAAATTTAAAAATTACGGATCAAAATATTTTAAAAAAACTTTGAGGACAAAAAAACTTTTTTGAAAATTAAAAAAACTAAAATGAATATTTTAATAAATTATTTTTAGCACTTATTAAATAGGTACCAAAAGTGAGAATAAACTAATGTGAACTAAATATAGATGAAATAAATATTTATATAATAATTTCTTAATGAGTAATTAATAAGATATTTTTTATTAATAAAATAAAAAATTAAATTAATAGATCGGATATTATTCCATTTGTATCTCTACAGTGAAGAAACTTCTTTGAGGTTTCATTCTCCAACAACAATGAAATTTAGACCACCGTTCTTGAGCGCTCGAATGCACCAATGGGTTGTTTGTTACATCCTTCTTTTAAGTTATCGTTTCAACCAATTGTGTCCTTTTTCTTTCAGAGCTTTATTTTGGTTAGTCATGTAAAAGCTTTTCGATATTATTAGAAGGAGGGCCAAAGCCCTAAGGAATATTTACAACGGGATCATTCCAACAAACGCAATCCCACAAATGTCATCCAATAAAAATTTTAAACAACCAAAAGTAGCCTCTAAAAAAAAAAAAAAAAAAATCTAATTTCTAAAGAATTATTATAGTTAAAATAAACAAGCTGTACCTTAGTTTTTCTCATTATAGATATGATTTGAAGACAAACATTTTAAAGACGATACAAAATAAATAAATAAATAAAATGAGCTAATTGACTATGAAAAGATGATTGATCATTCTGGCATAATAGATCTACATTCAATTTCAAATTTTGTTTCCCTGTGACTAACGTAATGGCAATTTCACATTGCATAACTCTTAATTCCACTAAATGAAACTAAATTGATGCTACAGCCACAATATCGGCTGCTAAAATTAATGATTTGCCGTCGTTTTTTGCATGTGCAAATAATACAATATTGTAGGCTAAAATGGTGCATGGATGCTTCGTTACAGGCCAAAATGATTTGACTTTCTGCTCATCAAACCACCCTGTTGTTGAAATTACATATGATCAATGGACCATCATTAATTTCTCGATTCGTACAGACGGCCTCAACCTGTAGTTAAGCTTGCGTGAGCATCTTATGTAGTATAAAATTCAATGGCCTTGTACCTTACCTCGTAAAATTCCTTGTGATGGGTTGTTTTCTTGACTTGCCGTTTTTTTTATGTGATCTGGCCGCAATCATATGTCAAATTTAATGGTTAAAAAGCTTTCATTCATGCGTATTTTTACATTTGATTTTGTATTAGTTTCCTTATTTATTTATTTATTTTTAATTTTGATGTCAATCCTCTATTTTCAAAATCCTCTTTTGTTAGTTCTAGCATGATCGAAAGCTAAGGTTGTCAGTTAATGATCCCGTGTCTCCCACCATATACTGATAAGTGTCAAAATCATCTTTACTTACGTTTCTCATTTGGTAGCCAAAGATAATGACATCTATGTTCTTAATTGCCACAATTTCAAAATGCAGGAACCCCAAATTTATAACTTGCCAATTGTATGATATTCAAGTTAATTTCAAACTGTAAAATAATGAATTTGACCCAAAATTTTAAACGGTTAGATATGACTTTAAGAATGATTTAATATTGAATATTTAATACATCATCTCAAGAGAAAACTCAATCGAATGAAAGAGTTTGAAACTTACATAGAACTAAGGATACTTTATTATGAAATTTAATTTAATTAGAGCATCGACCCATCAATATCTTTTTTTGAAAAAAAATAATTTAATTAGATAAATAAAATGGTGAGATTTAAATTCGTGTTAAAAATTTTGATTTCATATTATAGAATAATGTTAATCTAAAAGTTTTAACATTAGATAAAATTCTAAAAATAGTTTATATTACTTTGTATTATCTTATATCATATATTCACTTGTATTGGGAGACATTATTCACTTGTATTTTAGGACACTCACTTATTGTATGTGTTGGTCTTTGATAACCCTAAACTATATATACAAAATCTACAGAGGGCTACAAGGATATTTAACGCAGACTTTCTGTTTGCCGAACCTATTTCTCTCTTGAGCTCTAACTTGGAATCAAAGTTTTCAAGCATAACTGCAATATGAGTTTTTTCATCGGAAAAAAAGGGTGTATTGACGGTCGCTTTGTAGTTGTTCAAGGTCTTCGGGATTTGGAGAAGGTGAGTCAATTTTTGTTTTTTAAACTTTCTCATTAAATTAAACCAAGTTAAACATGTGGTTTGCGCGCACGCGCGTGCACACACACACACACACATATATATATTATGTGATTTGATAAAATTATATGTATTATTTGACATAAATGATCTATATCTATAAATATGAAAATTAAATTTTAAAAATTAGTCAAAATTTTTGATCAAAATTATTAATTAATTAGAAACAAGTTTAAAATAAAAGAACAGATTGGAGATATATATATTTTTTAAGAAACATATTAAAAAATTGACTTATTATATAAAGACAGGAGATGGTATTAAGTCTTAATTTTAAGACAATGTTACTTGTTTAGATATGTGTTATATTCTAATCCAATCCTTGCTTTTACTACGCCCATTTTCGGTTGTTCTTATGTAATTACTTGTTTGCCAGCTTTTACATTAATAATAATTATTCTCGACCTCGCCTTATCAAAAGAAAAAAAAATTTAAATGAAAATTGATTTGATTATGACGAGAGTTATCTAGTTGAGGATAAAAAAGAGATTAAAAAAAATTTAGTCAACTAAAATAATTTTCCTACCTATCTACTTCTAGTTTAGTCAAATTATAAGCAACTATATTGTCTTTGTTAGAGAATAATATAAATCATATCTTCAGGCCTTATCTAATAGTTTAAGCTTTTGGATGTGATGATCATTTGACATGGTATCAAAGCATGGTCCTTTGACATGGTATCATAGCCTTAATGACCAAACGTTCACGAGTTTAAATCTTATCACCTCCTCTTTTTTCTTTTTCTTCTAATTAATTAAGCATAACGTAGAGTGACATATGCAAGTTTTAAGCCCAAAAGGCTTTCACTTGAAGGGTGTTTATTAAAGAATAATATAAATCATATCCTATAAGACCTTACCTAACAAGTTAAGCATTTTAGGTGTGATGGTTCTTTGATAACCCTTTTTTATTAATTCTATTAAAACTAATTAATTTCAAATTATAAATACAAGAATCAATATTCATAAAAATATTATGCATTCTTCGTAGCTTCTCATTAGTATTTTGATGAACCCAAAATATTGCGTGCATTAAATCAGTTTCTATGATCCAATCTAAAATTTTATTAGTCAGAATTTATTGATAAAAGATTAAAACATGAGGGAGAACAAAAATTATAGTGAGAAACTGTTGCAAGCATACAGCGATATATGTTATCAACCATTTGGATATGGTTTCCCAATGCCATGGTGGCAATCCTGCAAACGCACTTCGATTTTCCATTTTCACATGCTCATAAGATTATACGGACCACTTAAAGCAGAAATAGCTCTTTCAATTTTCATCTTCAGAAGATCTTTCTCTTCCACATCTACCTGCAAGATAAATTGGTGTCAACTTTCATGATCATGGCCAAATTTGAATATTGATAGCTACTTAGCTGTATTTCTTGGTCCGAGAATACTTCTATCGTTTAAAAACAATTCAAAATATTCATAATTTGTGTAACTGCTGATTTCATGCAATGGAAGCCATTTTATATATCTTCCCGTTTGTGTTACTTGGATTGAAATGATGGAGAGGGGGAAGGAGAAAAGAGACAGACCTCTATCAATACTGTCTTCTTGATCATCCCTGAGACAATTGTGGCATTTGCTGTAATGATTTTCAGCTTCAAGGATTCAAAAACCTCGAAAATCTTAATCATTGCGTCTCCAGCTTTACTGCATATCAGGCTCACAAACAAAGTCTTCTCTCCCATGGAAGTAACCCTAAGCTGAAAAAACATCAGCGCAGATACCATTAGTGTTCTAATTAATCATTTGTGATGTACGGAGAGAGACTTTTATTATTTATATTTTAAAAATTGTGTCATATCTTTACTGTTTCGAACTGACTACGTTAGGTCACACCGGTGCAAAAAGAGTAACTTACTTCATGAACTTCGATAGGATAACTCATAGGATAATAAATTTGGTCAGATCTTGTTCTCTTGGATCTTAACAAGACTGGTAGCTCTTGCTCGAAGTCATATCCAGGATCTTTCTTCAATCTCTCGGATTCAAGTTCCATTATTCAGCTTGCAGTGTCCTCTCTTGTTCTTGCAAATCTTGGATGTACTCAGTAGCATCTTTGACTGGGAAGCCTTGTCAAGCTAAATGTGTTCACCCCAAAAATGGAAAACAACACCAAAATTTTCAGACTCAACAAACAAAGTGATGAACAGTATTAGAAGTTGCCTCAATTAATGAGCTATGGATTTACCTTGCTGATTTTGGGGACTGCTTCTCTAAGTGCTAAGAGCTTGTCATTGAGCTTCTTCCTCCTCTTTCTCTCTGAATCCATATTTTTAGAGGCTATTGTTGAAGCAGCTCCATCCAGCAAGCTTGAATCATAGCACTGCGTAGATGCCTGATCCATTGCCCAACAGTCTCAATATCAAAGAACTTCAATTCGTAGTGCTCAAAAAAAATTTGGAAATGGAAAGAAAATAGAACAAAAGTTTGGTCATCGAAGGGAGATAAGAAGTGGAGGATCTATACCTGTTAAGCTCATCATTCCACAACATTGAAGTTGTCTCCCAGTAATTTTGGTACTCAGCAATATTTTCAATAGTTTCCATGGATTGAGGATGGGGCTTGAAAGGGAGAGAGAACTTGAATGGTGCTTTGCTTGAAAAGGTCGGTTCTGTTTTCTAAACCATGCAGGAAATGTGGGGTTTTATATAGAAAACGTGGGTTAGGGACTTGGGGTTCTTTGAATTTCACTGGATTAGTCTAAGTGTAATTTTGTGACTTATTACGAGAACTTGCAAGGCAAGAAAAATTAATTTTGTTTAAATAAAAGATATTAGAGGTGAAATATATTGTATGATCCACATAGTTTGAATTATTCCCATGAGCCTCTTTTGGTACATCCAATTAGACAGATTGACTCGAGAAATTAAATGTGGGGATTAAATAACCAAATTTCATATGATCGGAGAAATTAATTGAAAGAATATATTAAATATTTTTAAAAATAGATAAAACGTAACTAAAAATCTAGAAACGAGATAATGAGATATAAATATATTTATTTTAATAAACACTTAAAATAGACTATAAAAACTTGTAAAGGGATCGAGAAAAAAATTACTTTTATTACTCTTTGGTTTCCCAATCTTCGACTTTCGTGGATAAAACACTTGTCCTATGTGATGTAATCAATCTCAAATCGTAAAAGACTAATTGTAAGGCTCAAAGTAACTTACCGATACCCCATTATTTCCCTTCTATGTCGGTCTTCCTCACTCCAACACGAGCTTCCCCTCTAAAAGGAAATATCTTCAATAATCTAAGTACGGTATTCGAAGTAGACACGTCGTGCGTGAGTTCGACCTAGGGACGGCAATTTGCCCCAACCCAACGAGCCTTGCCTCAAGTCAATTTTCCCTATGGAACGGGACGGGGTGGGGATGGGATTTTCCTCGCCCCTCCCCCCCCCCCCCCCATTCGCCTCTTTTTTTTCATTAAAATTATAATTATACCCGATATAAAATCTATAATTAATGACTTTTAGGGTTTATTTTCTATATAAATTATTATTTTTTTGCTTTAATTTAAATTTTGATAGTAGAATTGGATAAAATGAGATGAAAATAAAATAATAATAATTTTTACCCCGTTTACACCTCGTTTGCCCCACGGGGATCCCCATCCCATCCCTGTTTGGGGTGGAAATGGTATGAAAAATTTTACCTCGTTCGAGGCACGAGAAAAATTTTTCGGGGGCGAAACGGGGACGGGGATCACCATTCCCGTCCTCCCCCCCCCCAATTGCCATCCCTAGTTCGACCCACCCTCAAGATGCCACCAAAGACCGTGTGATCGGCCTCTATCAAACTTATAACCAAAAGCCACATTTATCATTGCACGATACTTTACCAACTTGATATCCAAACAGGTGCCTCTATAAGCCAAAAATCATTTTAATAACTAAGATTCAATATTTGAATTGGTGTGTCTCCTAATAAGGGTTTCGATAATTGGTTCAATACAATATCACAAACAAAAATAAAAAACTTATTTTGACATAAATAATAATAATAATAATAATAATAATAATAATAATAATAGATGGAAATAAGCTTGGATTTTCTATTAGAATTCATTTTGGCAAAATAAAAATTTTTAGAAGATAAATTTTAGAACTAAATTAGACTTACCTTTCTTAGGAAAGGGCAATTTTTGGTGATTAACATCTTTCCAAAAATATAATCAATTCCTTACCTTAAAATTTTTGAACCAGTACCTATTTTAGGTTCCTAATTCCTTTAATACTAGTTAGCAACTCCAAAATCAATAATAACTCACGTGTTCAAAATAAATAAAAAAATATTTAAATTTAAAATTTTCAAGAGTCTCGTCCAAAGTCGAGTAACAACAATCACTTTAAAAGAGAACAATTGTTATTTTGGTCGTTGTCGCGGTTAACCTTTGGAGCTATGGTAGGGAGACCATGGTGATGGTAATGGATACGAAAGGGATTTCAACATTGAAGGAGAGAGAGTCGTCATTTGTTTATGGTTTTATAGGTATGAAGAAGATGTGGGGTGTTAGTTGTGAGCTCTTAGTGAAGGAGGGTTAGGGTGATCTGTGTGGTGTGGCTTGTGGAGAGGGTTCATGCTAGTGAGTGTTAATAATTGAATTCGAGGAGGAGATAGCATGGCTAAACGAGTGAAGGAGAAGATTGGTGATGTTCATATCTAAAGTCATAATACCTTGTCGATCATAGAGAAGACACTAAAGATGATGGGTTTCTAAAACTACTTCTTCTCGTATGATAGAGTGGCCTAGAGGAGAATAGGCGGTGGTTCCCAAAAACGTAGCTTTCATATCGGTAAAAAAGCTAACCCATCATCTTCCTTTATTAAACAAAGCCGTCTTGAGGATGAGAACTCTAAGAGTAATATTGTATTGAAGAAATAATAATGTTTTGTTGTACTTTGCTCGCTTTGGTTCTCTTTTCTTATTGTAGGTGGATGTTTATAGGGATTTTGGGAATAGGGTTACACATAGCTCCCAAATCTACCCACTAGGTATTTGGTAAAATTTCTCTATGACTCTCACATTGAATGTATCCTAAACATAGAGGGTCTAGTAGAGGAAGTTTTTGTTGGGTTAATTTATGATTGTTGAGTGGTTGGTGGGTAAAGACAATGGTGAAGCTTGATGGAGATAAAAGAGTTTTGAATAGAGTTGTGCTAAAAAGAAGATCGATGAAATAGGGCTATTGGGTTTTACGTTTTGGGGCTGTAAGGAAGGAAAGGGTATGATGTTTTTGCCAGCATTTTTATGTTGAGAATGATGTTTGAGTGAGAGGTTTGGATGAGGGTTTGTTAGTTATTGTAAGGAGGTCTAGTTTAATGAAGGCTCGTGGCTCTTATTGTAAGGGAGATTGGTGACAATGGTCGGGATATGCTATTATTTTGAGAGAGATTGATGGCAATGGTCGTGGGTTTATGGGTGTGGCTATTATGGTTGAGTTTTGCAACAATAAAGATTGATTTATGCTCAAAAGGTTAATGTTCGAGCCTTTGTTCCTCTAGTTAACATGATGATGTTATTATTTGACCAATTTATTGAACTTGATTAAAGTTATTAGATCTTTGGCCTTACCCCCAAGTGTTCTTAATTTTAATGATTATCATTTAGATTGAGTCATCGGATGCCTCCAAGTATTGATCGAAATCAAACATTTGTCGTTCTCTTAATGTAACCACCATTTGCACTCGGATTTCATCTTTTGATGGTCGGTATCATAATTTTCAAATTAGTCTTTAAATTTTCATCATATTTTGAGAAACAATATTTGAATAGACACTTAGTTTCCCATGAATTAAGTCATGAACTTGAATGATTCTCTTGAATACAATTTCAAATCATTTGAAAGACATACGAGAGATGTGCCAATAAAAGTACGTTCATTCATAAAGATATTCAAGTTGATTGATCAAGAGTCAAAACATGAAATTCAAATATTATGATGTATTTTTCTTAAGAAGGTTGTTAGGCTAAACCGCCAAAATATGTTTGGATCATGCAAGATTTGAATGAAAAATGTTTTTATTTTTATTTTTTATTTTTTTTATTTACGATTGAAGGTAATTGGTCAAATCATAAGTCCATTTTGAGTGAACGAAAAAGGTTGAGCATAAGGTATTTGAAAAGATTGGTTTTGAAGGATAATTTTTCTTGAGAATATCTTGATTCTGCTTTTGTTGCCCTCAAGTTAGTTGATGAAAGCTTAAGATTTGATATAATAAAGAATGACAAAAAGGAAACCAACTAGTCATGTTTACCTATTTTTTCTCAATCATTTTTCTTTTTCTTTTGAGATTAGAATTCTACAACACAAGCAAACTACCTTTGATAAAAAAAAAATGGCTTGTAGAAGCACGTAACATAGGCTATGGATTAAGCTTATGAAAAAATGATATATAAAAGCTAAAAAAGTGTTTAAGGTTCTTATGATATGGGATCATTTTGTTGTTCATAGAAATCTCTTTAGGCAATGACACTCGGACTTTGTCACTTCAGCCATTAGTTAGGGTGTTGTGTCATCTTAAGAAAATTTTTCTTTTTAGGCATGCCACGGTGACTTTGTCATTTTGATTGTTGACTTTGTTTTCTAGCCTCAACTCTCATTGTCCGTTTGTCCGGGTTTTGACTTCAATCTTGACTTATAAATTTTGCTTAGAGATGTTTTTCTTTTTTTCTTCTTCCTTTTCTTTTTTTTTTTTTTTGGTTTTTTCTTTCATATTCTTTTTTGTTTTTGGAATCATTGATGAGGTTCTTTTGATAAAATTTTTTGAGAGTTTCATCGACTAATTATGGACTTCGCATCCTATCCTTAGTATGAGGGGTGATCCTAGTCTAGGCTATCATAAAAAAAATCAACAAGACCCAAAATAGGATGACAAAAGATAAGGCTTTGTGAGATATATCAAAGATGGTCTTTTTTCATCTCAAAGATTAATTTGCTCATGCTGATAAATGCTAATATTTTTTTGAAAAATAATTATTAGGTTAACCTAAAAGAAGAAATCATAAATGTAATTTCGGATTATGACCTAAACAAATGCTCGTTCATTGTTATTTAAGACACCTATAATTTAGTCTTTCAATTTTAGGTATCATGAGATTTTTTTAAGTAAAACTTTCCTCCAAAAGTTCATTTAGAAAAGAAAAAGGATTTCTTTTTGGTTTTAATAAAGAAATAATTGCCTTTTATTTTATGCTAAAAACGGTTATAAGGAAATGAGAATATATCTTTAGGTTTTAATGAATTGAAAGATTGTCTCTATCATCCATCTCGTCATGCTTTAAAATTTGATTAATTTTTTTAATTTTTTTTGAATACGTTTGCCATTATTTTAT